ACCCAGTCCACTTGATGTGATCTGACTTGGCCCACTTGACTTGACCAGACTTGGCTTGACCCAGGCCAGTCTGGCTTGGCACAATCCATTTGACCCTACTCAATCTGACCCACTTGATTTCACTTGATACACTTGACTTGACCTGACCACACTCAGAAGGAGAAAGATCAAAATCAATAATCTTTATCTTATCTGGTAAATAAAATAGGCTTATATACGATACTTCAGCATTTCTTCCTCAGAGTATAACCAGGATTGCTTAGTCTTCCTGTCTGGTTTGGTAACAGCGCTACTCTCCAGCTGACTACTATTTCTCCCTCACAGTTTGGGGCTGTCATCTTTTTGGTTTTGTTGCCTGACTTGCTGAATAGCAAGGCCAGCTCAAAGATGTCACTGCTTTTATAGTGCAAACTGTTGGCACTGTTCTTGCTGTTATGGCTCCACTGGTTGCTGTGTGTAACCACTGTAGTTTTGTTGACAATTTCACTCATTTATCTCTTCATCAATAATAAATTTTACATATATGTTGTCCAGTCCTTTCACACCTTAATAGAATTGTGACCTTTTCCACATCTCCTGCTATTTTATTAGAATTGCCCAACAACAATAATTAACGTAAATTTATGTCTTAGTACCATGTGTTTGCCCTTTTTCTTTGACTCCTCTCCATCAGATGTCTTGACAGCACTCCTTTCCTTTTAGCCATACACATCTCTGAAACTTGATGAGAGGATAGGGAAAAGGAAAAAGTCTGTTTACTTTTTTTGCTTTTCCAAGCCATCAGACTTATTTATGGAAAGCAGCAATATGAAATGCAAGTGATACTTTGGCTGTCAGCTATAAATTTTTCTCAGAACAATACTGCTCTACTTTTTTTCCTCACATTGCCCAATGTTTTCAGGATTCATAGATTTTTAGATTCCATCCCATCTTAAACTTACTGGACACTTGAATGTCTAAGCTAGACGCTTTTAAGGCATCCCAACACAAATGCAAATTTGCTGAATTAGGTCAAATAATAACTGTTCACTGCAGGGAGTTTGAAACTGTTTTCCACAGTAATCAGGTGAAACAAGGCAATCTCAGAGCATGTGTCAAACGGTGTTTCTCTAGCTGTATTTTTATCATATCTGCTATATATAGGCAAAATGGGTCCTTAATTTTAGTAAAGTCGTCATTATTAAGAAATAAGAACGCATATAACCTTAAAATAAGAATAACCTCAAAGAAAAAAAACAACAGAGCTAATTAAAGATAAGCTTAAATAAGGTGTAAATAGGGATAATTAAAACCAAACTTAAAATGTATACTTTTATATCAAGTAATTTAATATTTCTAAGGTTTAAGAATCATAGAATAGTTATGGTTGGAAAGGACCTTAAGATCATCAAGTTCCAACCCCCCTGCTATGGGCAGGAACACCTCGCTCTAAACCATATCACTCATCCAACCTGGCCTTGAACACTGCCAGGGATGGAGCACTCACAGCCTCCCTGGGCAACCTATTCCAGTGCCTCACCACTCTAACAGGAAAGAATTTCCTCCTTATATCCAGTCTAAACTTCCCCTGTTTCAGTTTTAACCCATTACCCCTTGTCCTTTCACTACAGTCCCTAATGAAGAGTCCCTCCCCAGAATCCCTATAGGCCCCCTTTAGATACTGGAAGGCTTCTATGATTATATAGTGATTATTGTGAAGGATCAATTTATTTTCATAAATTTATTTCTATATCCAGTAAACAATAGTTTTATATTACTACTGTCTCTCTTGGTTTTCTTCTAAGAAAATATTTGTTGTTAGAATTAATTTAGACTTTAATTACTTGCATTCTTTTTTAGTCAGCTTTTGAAAAGACGCGAAGTATCTGTACCTCTGAAAATTGAACAGCTTTCTGATGAGCTAGATGCATGGAGAGCTTGTACTCAGTTGAACAAGTAGGTGGAAAAATAAAAAATTACCAGCAATGAGACTATTAGTATTTAACTGTTAAGTTGTAAATACAGTGTTTATTTCCTTTTTAAAATCTAAATATGAATGTAAAAAAAAGTACTTTGGGGATGTTAATTTCTAACACAAACTAAGATGCATAGTTGAAAAACAAGTGTCTCTTGTTCATAGGTCTACCAGTGAATTGCCATGCACCCCACCGTCTGAATCGCAGAGAATGGTGTATTCCATACTTGTATCACGAATACAAGAGGAGCCTCTGAAAGGAATGGTTGGGCCAGACTGCGTCACTGGATCAAATCTTCCTAGTCATTCAGATGTTCACATCTCTTGTTTGACAGGGCTAAGGATACAGGTATGCTTTCAGAGCTCAAGTGTTCTTTCTCAGTGATAGGATTGACCAGTTGTGAGCTTGCCATAAATCTAAAGTCCCTTCTGTCATCTGGGAGAAAAATGTTTTCCCTGTTGTCACAGTAGCAGAAGTTAAAGAGGACAAGTGCTGGCATCTTCTGTAGAAAAAGGCTACATAAAGAATTGTCCAATCAAATAATTGCCCAGTTTCCCAATGCTAAACTTTTTAACTTCCCTCAGAAAGACAGATTTCCTTTGCCAAATGTTCTGTTTAAAGTGCATGTAACTTATTGCCTACTGCCTCACCACAGCTTGAATAAAACCCCAGGAAATTATTTACCTTCAACCACGTATTAACATTATTCTGTTGTTGGTATTTATCATTATGAAAATGCATACTGTAAAACTTGTAATTCACGAATAATTAAAGCCAGATATTAGACTAAATATTCAAATATATTCATTCATCACTCACATAGGACTTTATGATCAAATCATACTAGTCCTTCTAATACCATTTTGGTATATGTTGTCATTTCCATAAGGGGAAAATTGACACAGCCTGAAAATACTGCTTTCAGGCTCCTGTCTCCAGACAGTGCCTCAGTATGAATTTATTGTCTGACCTGAGGCTGAGCCTGTTTCCTCTGCCCAGTACAAGATGCCAGCTCAAAGAGTAACAGGGTTGCTCAGGGATTAAGAGGGATAGTTTTGCATCAGAAATTGGAGATTGCAGAATGCTAGAGGGATTTTTGAGGTAAACAAGATTCACAACTGCACACCATCAAGTCTAAAAAAAACCTTGCTGCCTACACTTCCACATTAGACCAGTGGTCTCTTGCTATGCTATGCTCTCGGCATTTGCTAAGAGCCACATAAAGCTGCCATTGTCATAAACAAATGAACAAGAATAGCAAATATGGTGTCATCAACTTGTCATCTACAATATCCTTATTTCTGGATTAGTGAATATTGGGAGCCATTGCTTTAGACATGCAGATCAGCTCACAAGTCTCTTCACTAATACTAAGGTATAGTAGCCTAATTGAGTAGGTTTACTAATTTTAAGTAGCAAGTTCAGAGAACATAACTATTTAAGAAGGCACTTAAATGGAATTGCAGCTTTGAGACCATATATTGTTGAATGAAGAAACTAGCAAATAGCTCTTCTTCCATCAGATAAATTAGTGTTTTGTTCTTTTCATAGTGAACATTTGAAATTATTCTGTAGACTTCATGCTTTCAAGCAGTTCATGGAGGCTTCTTTTTTTTTTTTTTTTTTTGATAGGTGGGGAAACACACAGATCAGCACAGATAATGACAGACACAATAAAATATGTACAGTATTTTGAAGGGGAAAAAAAAAGGTGTTACCTCAGTTTCTAATTCAGGCTAAATTTAACTCTGGAATAATTGCCAAACTTACGAAATACCACAATTATTAAAAATCAAGCTAAAAACTTAAGGGTTATGAAATGTTGGGTCTCCAAATTTGAAATATAACAAGTTCACTCGGTTAATCATGTGTAACTATTGCCAAAGCTTTAAGTTGGTGGGGTACAATTTTTGCATGAATGTAGATGATAGCTGTAAATCACGTTTTCATGTTCTTCTCAGATAAAACAAAATGTGCTTGCTGTTGTGGTAGCCTTTACACCATACATGTGTATTTTATTTTAATTTCCCTCCACAAATATGTTTACTGTACAGGGTCCAGTGTTTTTCCTCGAAGATGGCAAATCTGCTATTTCACTGAATGATGCTTTGATGTGGGCCAAAGTGAATCCTTTTTCACCACTAGGAACAGGAGTACGACTTAATCCATTTTGATGAGGTGTTTTCCTCTGTACTTTGTAGTGCTTAAAATACTACTCTGAGGGTTAATAATGATTTCATCCTTGTCACAGGACAGAAAGATGGCCATTGACTCCTCTGGAAGGGAAATTACTTGTACGTTGACAATTGTAAAATGAGAACAAGGAAAGGGTTTCTATAGAAAAGTTTGTTGATAATCCAAAGAAAAAGTTATTTAAGAATCCAAAGAAAGAACTAACTACATAGACAGACATGTCTTTTTTTAAGTAAGAATGTTGTTATCAGACAGTACAGACATATTTCAGCCTGCTCTGTGTAAACAGAAGCTTTGTAAAGGAAGTGAGCTACTATCAGCATGTTATCAAAATATTGGTAACAAATTGTGATATCCATAAACATACTTTCAAATACATAATTTCAAGTACATCATAGAATGACTTTATTGTTGGGAACTGCAACCTGTTTTTAAACTAACTGGAATACTGTGGCTGTTTCATACATGGTGTTCTCCTTTTTAATTTAAACTAGGTTTTGCACACAGGATTCTATAACAAAAGTTAGACAATTTTTTCATCCATTAGCTATTGTGCTTTAATAAGAGTATAAAGATGTTTAATAATCTTTTGTTTAGACAGGTTTGACTACCTAGATTATAAAATTCTATTTTCTAGCAAGTTCCTTTTTATTAACTGTCCCCCTTATACTTTAATGGGAAGTTAAAATCTATTTCTAAATTTTATTTTTTTTTTAAACAAAGGGTTTGTAAGGAACAAACAGCAAACGTATTGAAATTATTTAAATGTTATATACATTAAAAATACCTGTTTTCTTTTTACATTTTATATTAGTCATAAATATACATATAGTATGAAAGACCAGAAGCAGATACATGTGCGTATATTTTTATCTATTAAAGCTCTGCTCAAATGGAAAGAAAATTTTGGCAAGAGAATGCTAAGAATATTTAAATTTTAAAGCTGTGTACAGTATGGAATTTAATCATAAGACAAATCTTATTCTTATTAATAAATATTCTTATTAATACATCTTATAATCAGAATTATCTGTAGAAAAGATGCCTTGGTTATACTATTCTTTCTTAGCTTAATTGATGACACACAAGCAGAAATCTGCTTCGTCTGTTACATTTTTTGCTGCTGCTTTAAAATAATTTTTGAAATCCCGCTAGATACATAAAATGGAAAGAAGCAGAAATTGAAAACTGGTGAAACTATTTCTAGAGAAACTGTGGTAAAGCTGAAAGTAACACACGGTCTCCTTTTGCAGACCGTATTGAACAAAATCTCCAATATATAGGTAAGCAATGCCCTCATTTAACTGGGTGTAACAATGCCACCATGCTGGAAAGGTGGAATGGAGATTAGAAATTTAAAAAATCATTTGGTGGTTTGTTGGGGTTTTTTTTCCCCTCTTAAAAAAAAAAGTTAAGAATTCATTCTGTTGATGTCCTAGGCTATTATTTCTGGTTTCTGGTATATGAACATACTGGGCAGGGCAAAACAAGCTTAGTTGTTTTGCAACCTATACAAAAACATTTTTGCATATGCTTGGGTGCTGGAACAGAATGTTTTAGTTTTTGCAGGTATTGTTTGGAAAATGCTTTCGTTTTGTTAACTCTGGGAAGTTGGGGAATGAAAGTTTGATTTCTGAGATAAGAATTCATAGTTTTTGAAATAATTTTCCAGCAGTCAGTATCTGATGTGTTGCTTCTGATGAATGAAAGACTAGTTATCTTTCAGCACAGAAATTGTACAACCTTGTATGCAGAAGTTAATACAGACTTGGAGAGCAAAGGTAAGAGCCACAAATGCAGCCCCATGACTGATGACTGGGATCTGAAGGATTGACTCAGCTGCCAGTCTGCGATATTCAAAATATTTTGCTGTGTCCTAAGGATTTTTAGCATTATTTCACAGTTTAAATTATGTAGTATAACTGCATCAATTTGTTATGCCTAAATTGTGCCTTAACATGGAGCCTTAGACAAATGTACTCCATCTTTAAATTAGACAGTGAGGGTTAAGAATGCTTTCATATGTGAAATACAAATCTTAAGTCAAAAGGCACTCTTTTGCACTGGGAATCCATCAGATAACAGTCATTGTGACTAAAATAAGGCTGCATTTTCCTTAAGGTGGTTGTACCCCATGTGGTGAATGAGGGCAACATGCAGAAAATGTTGTAATTGTGTCTACTGCTACAACTATGTTTGCAACTGTCCAAACATAGATTCTTCATCTTCAAAAATAAGTTCAGATTGTTCAACATGCGACTCCATTGTCTCGCACAGCTAGTCAAAGTGTTATTTCCCCTTAACATTAAAGAATTCTTTGTCTTCAAACGGTTGTTTGACTCTTCTTGTAAAAGTCATATTTCTATTTGAATGAAGAATATCAAGCTCTGCAGCTAGTGCTTTCAATTTACTATTAAATCTCAGTTAAGTTTAAAATTGCTTTATCGCTACAAAATACAATCCATTGTCTGACCAACATTACTGACATGTTATAAGCTTCACAGGCTGCACTCGTGTGAGAGACTCGTAACTGGAAACCGATTTTGACCGGGAACGCACGGGAGCAGCTGCCGAGCTCCGCTCCCCTCCGCGCTGTGTCTGGGGCCGTAGCGCGGCAGCGTCTCCCACCCCAGGTACCCGCTGCGGGCTGCGGGGGGCCCCTCACCGCCTCCGGGCATCGGCCGCAGCGAGGCAGGGGACGGTGCGGCGGGGGCACTGCTGGTGGTAGCTCCGCGGACTGGTGGGACCGGGCGGAGCTGCTCTCCCCTCCTGTCCCCTCCCTCGGGGCCCGCGGGCGGGCAGGGGCGGCAAGCACAGGGCAAATCATGCTCCCTCTGTTCCCTGAGCCCCCGAGCGCGGTACCGCCTGTGTGTCCCTGGGGTGCTTGTCGCACGCCCGCAGTGTGTCACAGTTGGGTTTCTTGAGAATTGAGGTCTTGCACTACGTTAATTTTTCTGAAAATAAATGCTTGCTATTTTTTTATTTATTATTTACTTGTATTTATTAAACAGTTCATGTAATAAGAGGTACTCCAGCTAGTAAAGAAAGCTCCTTTGTGCTGTAGTAGTCATTAACAGTGCTCTGACATGGTTCAGTGTTTGTTTCAGATCCTGGTTCCTAATATTTTAATATATTACTTTTAACATTTATTTCATACTAACAGTTCAGCGTTAAGAGCCCCATCAGAATGCCCTTCTTCCTTACCTCTGTGAGAAGGGTAACAAGCCTGTTTCCTTGCTTTCATTTCTGGCTAAAGAAGGGATTGGTTTGGGGAAAGAATGTTACCAAACAGACACTCATGTCAGGTATTTTGTTACTATGTATCTTTGGTATGCAACATTAGCTGTCTGATCTGCTGGAGACCTGTCCCAGTACATAGTCCTGCACAGGGACAACATCCATTCAAGATTTTGTTTGTTCCTGTTACTATGTAACAGAAGTGATGCACTATCCAGCTTGGCTCAGCTTGCCAAAGTGACTATTTTTCACATCCTTATCTGGTAGCACAGATTAAATATTATGTTGACAGTTACATGTTGCCTGAGATTGAGGTCCTAATATTCCTGTAAACTAGTTCTGGGTTACTCTTCAAGCTGGCCTACTGTTCTGTGCAATTGAGAAAGTAGTGCCACATACCTGTGGGCTCTCATGATGGTCTTGTTTGCTCTCTGGAGAGTGGCAAGGATCAGTGGAAATGGTGGGAACAGACATTGCAGATGCCATGAGAGCATGAACACACCTATTTGAGATGAGATGGCTTGGACTCTGATGTGACTCAGAAAAATTTCTAACACCATCTAGTTTTGTTTGGAACACATGCTTTGCAGAGCAGCCTTGCTTGCTGAGAACTAACCTTATTGTAGAGAACACGGGAGAGCTTTGTTTTCTAACTTCTTCCTGAGTCAAACTTGGGAAGTGCTATGCCACACCTGAAGGAAGGTCAGGGTCAAATGATCTCATTCTACATAGAAAAGCTCAACAGTGCCATAGTTGGCTTGCCACTTTGGTGTTTCATGAAGTAATACATGGCACTGGTATTGTACGTAAACCCACACCTTAGCTTCTGGATGAAACCCCAAACCACCCAACTTGCTCCAGAGTATGTACAATATGGACTCCTAAGCAGTTCCTCTTACTCGCATCTGCCTTTTACAGGAGTCTAGAAAATGTCCTCACTACAGTATTTGCAGAGAACAGAAACAAATTAAGACTACTTTTAATGAGGGCAAGTGTCAGAGAGCTACATTTTTACTAAGTGGATATAATTTAGCAACTGAGTTAGCATTCTTCTTTGTGAAAACTTCCTCTATAGTTAGTTCCTCACTTACCATCTTTCCAGTAGGAACATAAATACTGAGTCACTTAAAAGGAATGGAAGAGGGTGAATCACCAAGGGCAAGTGATACATTTTCAAGCATCTAATGCTTTGGTTTGCAGGAATTGAATATCAGTCACTGAGGAAGTAATCTGTTCTGAAACACCAAATGAAAAGCCTAAGGAAAGGAGTACTGGAGTAGTCGTGTCACCTTTTTTGACATGACTGGCAAAAAGGGTATAAGCAGCCCATGGTGAGGCAGGCTGTCCCCTGCAGCCCATGAAGGTTAACAAAGGAGCAGTTATTCATGTGCAGTACACGAGGGACCCCACACTGGAGCATGGGGATGGCTGAAGGAGGTTGTGATCCCTTGGGAAGCCCATGCTGGAGCAGGCTCCCAGTAGGACCTGTAGCCCCATGGAGAGAGGAGCCGAGGCTGGAGCAGGTTTGCTGCCAGGGCTTGTGACCCTGTAGGGAAGCCACGCTGGAGCAGCCTGTTCCTGAAGGAGGCACCCCCTGGAAGAGACCCATACTGTTCATGATAAACTAAAGCCCGTGGGAAGGGCTCATACTGGAGAATTTTGTGGACGACTAATGGGGAGGAGGTATTGAAAATTAGAGTGAACTTAATCCCAAGAAGGTGGTTTTAACATTTGGTTTTATTTCCCATTATCCTACTCTGATTTCGTTGGTGATAAATTAAACAGTGACAGTAAATGGTGAGTGATCTCTCCCTGTTCTTATCTCAAGCCATGAGCCTTTCATTATATATTCTCTTCCCTGTCCAGCTGCAGAGGGGAGTGACAGCAGCTTCTGTGGGATATTGGTGTCCAGCCAGGGTCACCCCACCACAAAAGCGTGTGTGGCTGAAAAAACTGGGGTTATGTTTGCAGCAGCATAATTCCAATTCACAGCACAGGCAGTTAGGAGGAAATAAAGGAAGTTTCTCACTCTCTGTCATTAATTAATTTTCTATATAAAGAAAAAGAAAAAAATTAACAATTTTTTTTATTATTTTTAACAATGCATATAGTGCACCTGTCATCAAGTATTTTTAGGTACACAAACAATGGAAATTTAAAAACAGATAAAATAATGACTCCAACTGGACAAACTTAACAAATAATAATGAAGAAACTCTTCATGTTTCAAATGTGTCAAACAGATCTTAGAAGTGTAAATACAATTAAAATTAACAGCACTAAAGCTATTTAGTAAGTGTTAAGCTAAAGCTATACAATCATTTCTCCCCCCTCCCCCTCCGAGTATGAGCATACTTGTTCAATTCAGCCTTAATAGCACCTTGGTACCAGTTGCTGAATGGTTCCCAATTATTATATACCAACACCAGTTGTCAAAGATACTTTTTTTTTTTTAAGTAATATGTAAAAGGCATTTTTCTGCCCAGCAGTTTTTTAGGTAAAACATACAATAAACAGAAAGAAGTACTTGTTATTCATGTACATAAATGTTAGTTTCTCTGTTATCTGTACTGTAAGAAATTCTTCAGTATGGTTGGCAACTGGAGTTGCGGGACAAGATGCAGTCTAGCTCTTCCTATGTAGTTTCGGATACATAATCGGCAGAGCTGACAAAGAGAAGATGGTGTGGCTGCAAACAGAAAAGAAAGGATATAAAAATACAGCTGTGAAGGCCAGTACTTATTTTACAACAGTCTTGCACAATAATGGGATTTCTAAAAAAAGTCCACATTTTGCAGATTTGTCCTTTTCCTTCATGGCCTTTTTGCCTTCAAAGATAAATACTGGGACTGCCGAAGCTTTATTTATAATCAGGCAAACACTCAAAAAAGCAAGGTCAGGTCAGCAAATCTGTGTTTTAAAATTAAAAACCTGTTCCCAGAAAATATGTTAACATGTCAGCAACTTTGGAAATTGCATTTGTTTATATATTTTTATTCACACAGCAGGTGAAATACATGCTACAGCACTACAAGATGCACTGCCAACGCATCATCACAACACAAATAAGTAGGGAAAATGCCCCAAGATCCTGGACCATGTTTATTGCACTTACTAGCTCATGATCATGCC